TACAAATGCCATGGAGGCCACTTTGCCTTTTTTATATTATAGGTGTGCAGTGGCTGCAGACTCCAGTGACGGCAGAAAATGGGGGGGCTGATGCAAAGTGCCTGGCGGGGTATCTCCAGGTCATGTTAACTGGGGGTCTTTATGTCCTTAGCCTCTTTCTGTGTGTTCTTCAGAGGGAATTTTTAAACATGTGGAGCAACAGAATGAGCAGTCTATGCTGACACAGCAGCATCTATTCCTGTAAAAAGACTACTACTACTACACTATATATATATAATGCTTTACCAATTATTAAGGTCATAATTAATCATTATCCTGACTAGTCCACAGTTACCCATACTCTGATATAAGTACAAATATATATATATATATATATATATTATTAGTAAACACAGTAGTAACTAAAATTTACTACCAGTAGAAAGTCTCTCCTCTGAGATTTTGCTAAGCACAGCTAAGTCTTATGGGGAATAACCATAGTATTTTCCACCAACTCCATGTTCCATCATGATTTACTGTGTCAACAGCCAAGAGGGACACAGGGTGCCCTCTAAAGAGGCTGTGAATGTGTATTATACTAGGCAGGATGGCTGACCATATGTTAACAGAGGACACACCTCACGCTCCTACCAACCTATGTTACAGTCATGTAAGAGATAAATAAATAAATAAAATAAATGATTAATCTGTGCTCGGGCTGGAAGAAGTGGAGTCCCATCATCCATTCATCTTGTTTATTTTTATAATAGTTGCCTCCTCAGGAATTTAGCATTAACATTATTATTTTTGTGTGTCTGCCAAAAAGTGCAGGCCCTGCAAAACGTGTGTGGGAGGCAGCGCTTTTTTACGGTCTAAGGTTGTTTTTAACGTCAGTGATGGTTCTGCGTTGTGCCTTTGGAGTCATTTGGACGTCCTCTCGTAGCTAGAGTATCCACAGTAATAAATCATCTCTATTTATAGAGAGTTTGTGTGACTGTGGGCAGATGGGTATCTACACACTCTTTGAGATGACTTTGTAGCCGTTTCCAGCTCATGCAAATCAACCACTCTTGATCTATGGTTTATTTTTGCGCGGCAGCTTTCACAGGAGCACCTAAGAGACGCATATAAACGCATATGTTTTTATGGCGTATTTGTAGTCGTGAGTGGTTTGCCACTTGGCGACCCGCAGTACCTGTGAACGTACTCTATATTCATAGATCTTTATTTTACTTCACAAGGCGTAAAATCACACATGACACTTGTTTTGTTCCCTGCATTTCAGTTGTTTTTCAGCTCTTTCATATTTCCGTCTAATTAATGCCTGCTCTGCATCCGTGCCTGAGTTTCCAGACTTGTAATTCGGAGTATGATGGAGCACTAAATGAGTTGATCAAACCTAACGGCCAGTGGGGATGGACGACTGAGTTCTGTCTACTCCTTATGCAGAATTGCCTCAGGCTTCAAGCTTTTTTATTTTCCAAAGTCCTGTTCTGCCCTCCGCCGTCAGTTGCTCCTCAAAAAGATGTAGCTTTTTCTAGCAGTATTTTTATGTGTAGCTTTTCTTTTTTTTTTTTTAGATGGATCCTTGACGTGTACATAGTCCCTGAAGGACATCGAGTCAAAGTCCCTGCTGGAGTTTAGTACCCTACTCTCTTTGCTTCTTTTTTTTTGAGCCACAGACCCCTTGTAGTTTTTTGACTGAACTGCAAGACCAAGCTGGAGCAGCTCCAGAAGGAAGATATAAACAGGCAGACTGTTTTAAAGCCTTGGGGGCAGATCTATATCTCTGCTTTGCTTAGCTTTACTTCTAGTTTTATTTCTGATTCTCTCTGACTTGCTCTCACTATAAAGCATCAACAAAATTAGGAAGTGATCTTGAGCTGGATTATTTGTTGAGAAGATAGCCTCTGCACATCAACATTGCGTGGCCTTTGACACCGTATTGACGCATGTCCACACCTCGGTCAGATTATAGATATGTCAGTATGTCACCGGATTAAAGCCAAACCAGAGGGAAAAAAACATTACATTTCCCACTTTAAATATTTGATGGTTCCACTCCATACAGTGTTTTTATGAAGACATCCTGGTGGTTTTAATGCACTGACGTGACACGTTTTATGCAGTTACACGGTGTGTAATGCCACAGTTATGAGAACATCCTGCTGTGTTTTATTGCTGTGACATAGCGTGTTTAACACAGTGACACAGTCTGTTTTCAACTATAAATGCCAGACGTCCTTGAAAGAGCAGCACATATTTATCACTTTCTCAACATTTATTCCATCCATGGAGGACACACAGTTATAGTTCAATATGGGCAGTGACTGCAGCGGTTCTGCTGTCCGTCTATTGGCTGCCTTAGTGCTCGGCATCTTAAAGAAAGTGAAGACAAACAAACGCACACATCTTTGTAAATGTTGAGCTGAACCTCGTGTTTGTTTTTCACCATTTATTTGGTCTCTTTCAGTCGTTTGCCTGCACTTTATAAAGCAGAGTGTGGATTTTTTATTTGTGTTCTTTAAACAGAGACTTCAGTCTGTACAAAGTGCTTCATTACAAGGGATGAATTTGTTTACACTGGAAAACAAATCACTTTGCTGTCTGTCAGTCAGTGAGTTCCTGTGCTTCATTCACTCAGTTCTCTGTGAAAGACACAGCTGTCAGGTCTCTCTCCTCTGCATTGTATTTATGGAACACATCTGTGGGCTTTTCAGTGTTACTGATGAAATGTCATACATGGCCCAAAAATGTCTTCATGATCCTGAACTAAGAAGTGTTCCACACAGCAGCCATTTGGGTGATCAATTTTAGTCATAGAATAAACAACTTTTTAATGTGTTTAAATACTCCAATCATAGTATTTCTGCAACATGGGGTGAATACAGTGACAACATTTAAAATCACGATAATGTGTATTCTCAGCTGCATATAGTATGAAGAAAATTTTAATTTTTGCCTCTGCTGGTCACCAGGGTCTGTTACTTATTACCTATATAAGTACCAATGTCATGCACCTGCACTAACACAGTGGTAACATCATAATCTACAACATAAAAATGTCAGAAGAGACTAACTTATGCTTCGGGGCCATAATGAAGGGCAAAAAACCTTCCAAAGTTCCCAAAAAAAAAAAAAAAAACAACACAAATGAAAGAAAGTGAATGTAGCACAATCCACTGTATGGCATACAACACCTTCCTTAGTGTTGTGTAATTTCCATCCACTTTGCTCTCCAATTAGTTCCCATGCAAATTAGTTGTCAAGTTTTAACACCGTACTTTGGAATGATGGAACAAAATGTATGGAAGAGGGCGACGTAACCACGAATCACCGTAGGTCAAGCACATCTTACACCCGTACAGGCAGCTCTTTAAAAATGATAATATACAAAAAAAATAAATAAATAAATAAAATACATAGGTTTATATTTAATAAGTATATATAAAGATGTACAACTGAACCTGTGAGCATGTTTGTATGTGAAATCAGCTTTCCTCCAACAGTTACTCAGATTTTGTGTCTTTGGACACTTATCACAAAACAGTAAACATGTAGGAAAAATAGAATTGTGATGCGTAGAGTTGATCTTTTTTTTTTTTTTTACTGTTTGCAATGCACGAGGGAAAACATAAATAGTGACAAAAACAAAGACATGATGACTGCCTTTGTGATTGTTCCAAATTAGCAGCTGTATTTGCAGAAGCATGACGTGTCGGGGTCCAGATCCTCACCCGCCGCTGTCACATCTGCAGGCTGACACTCTTTGATCAGATCCTGCCATCGCCTCTAACATTACACGTGCTATATTTACATACCATACACCTGCCTCAGAGCTGCATGTAACCTGGCTTTGATTCAATACTGTTGTGACCCATTTCCCACATCAATGACATCTGGAGAAGGAGGAGGAGGAGGCAAAGGCAAAGGAAGGGAGGAGGGCTGGAGGTAGGGAGTGGAAAGGGAGTGGAGGGAACGGGGTGAGAGAAGGTCACGGCGAGGAAGCGATGATGTCTAACAAACGCGCGTGGCGGGAGGTAACCTCTGGAGCAGGTAGCGTGGAGGAGTCTCTAAACGAGGCCGACGTCCAACTGTGTCTTTTATTATGAGCAGATGCTGCTGCCATGAGAGGGAGGAGGCAGAATAAGGGGTGAGGAAGCTGTGGAGTAGTAAAAAGCAGTGAAGAATAAGAGGGAGAGAGTTGGTAGTTCAGAAGAAAAGGAGGTTACTAATGTAGATTAATATAAGGTTCACAACATGTTGCTAATGTTAGGACATTAAGGCATTTGAACTGTGTTTGAAATTCTAGGTTCACTTTGTCTCAGTAGCATAATTTAACCACCAGGGGTCGCTCTTAAAAAGGTACATTTTACACACACTTTAATGTGAGAGACTTCACAGATTTCCTAGTTATAAAATAAGAAGCCATTTCCAGCTGATCCCAGCACCCACAATAGGTGGCAGTAAATCATACTACCATACTTCAGTGACTTAATATATCCTTTGAAAAACAGAAAAGGTGTCCAAAGGGAAGGTCAATTTATTTTCTCACAAGAAACTACTTATTTTTAAACTTCCTGAAAACAATACAAAAAAATGTTTAGAGTTTTTTATTTATGATTTCCCAACCATTTTATGTCTTCTCATATCGTTAAAAGGAATGTTTTGTGTGTTTTGGTTCACAATATAAATTGATTAATTTAAATTACATTAATGTGTTATATTATCTCTGTCAGTCTGAGTTTGTGTCTAATTCAGTTTCTGAATATTTTTACCCTATTCTTTTCTTTACTGTGGCACCAAAAAACAAAAACAATCCCTCTCCAAAAAACCACACCCACTTTTTTTTTTATTACCTCCTTTTTTAAACATATGTTTTTTTCCCTCCGCCCATTTGTAATTTTTTTGAATATTTTTGTTTTTCTCATTGATGAGATATTTTGCATGGAATGTTTTTTTTTTTTTTTGATGGACTGCGTTTCCTGAGGAGTAAGACGTCCATATCTATCCTCTTGTAGGTGGAGCATCGTCAACTGCTACGTTGGAGAGGCGGGCCGGACATAAAAGACTGCATTAAGACAAAACAAAAGACACAAAGGGGCATCTAAAGCTAAAGATTTTTTTTTTTGCCATCTGATTTACAAAGAAAAAGAAATTCTGGCTACAGGATTTTTTGGCCAAATATTATATACCCTGGTTTCACTTTTTCATCGAGATGAGTTTGATCTCAGAACCCTAGATGGAAGAGAAAACCTTTTTTGCTGAAGGAAAATTCCTGAATAAGAAGAAGTCTGTTGTATAGTCGGTTCTTTTTTGAAATGTCCTTGTTAAAATCTTCTTCAGGAGGTGGATTTGTACCGATTTTTGTCAACCTCTGTGTGGAAGTAGCTGAAGCCTAAGTGAACTCACTCGCCATGATCACAGTGGATTATCAACTCTTTCCTTCCTTTTTGTCTTTTTTTTTTTTTTTGCAGCTTTCTATTTTGTGGTGTGCAAAAACTGCAGCTGAACTTTATTTTTAAGAGATTTATAGATGGACTGTTCCCCCTGATTTTTTTTTGGTAGCCCTGGTGCCTGTAGTTGTTGATTGACAGTCAGGGTTTTGGAGGACAAGGTGAACGGCAGATAATCAGCCCACATACTTTGCCCTCTTTTTCTAAATGGCCAATAGAGACTGACGTGAGCAGTTGTGGACACCTCGTTATCCCTCATCAGTCCTTACTCTTTGCTATACTGGGACAGACTGACTTTTTTGGGGTTTTTTTGAGCCAAAGTCAGAAGAGAAGATGTAAATCAGTGTCAGCCCTGTTTGCCTGGTGTCAAACTGATACAGGAACTTTTGAGCTTTAGTCAAGCACAGCACAAAGAATGGAAGCAAAAGGAAGGTGTTGACCTAGAAATAGAACAACTAGACATCCCATACATAAATAAAAATGTGTCTTATGATTTTCAAGATAGCAGAGACTAAAATATTGTGTGCATAGAAAATAGCTACGGCAACAAACCGCAGGTTTACATGGAGTCTGACACACGGAGCAGGTATTAAAAACTAAAAAAAAAGTCCACATTTCAATTGCATGAATGCCATCCATTTTTCATTGATAGCCACTGCATTTCATTAGAAGTAACAAATAGAGAATTTCAAAAGATAATAAACAATATTGAAATGGTGCATCACATGCCAGTCACTGTAGCAAACCTTTGGTTTATAGTGCACAAGGTGTAATCATTTCCTGCCAGCTCCTAGTCTAAGAAGCATTCACCTTTAGAAATGTTAAAGCTGTGTTTTTCAAATTACTATGTTCACTATTATAACAGTACTGTATCATCTGCATAGCAGAAGCACATGCTAGGACATGTGTGACCAGCAGGCATGTGTACTGAGGGTAATCTGGTGATATTTGGTGTAGATATTTGGTTGCTTGTGAAGTCTCAGAAAAAGAGACTCTAAATACTTTTTTTAGATTCAGCTCTAAAAAAACAGGCCCATTTTTTTTCTTTAAAATTTTTGCATCAAAAAGTAAAATTATGATCTCAATCATTAGATTCTTCAGAGAAATGCAATACCAATTTTGTAAATATGATATAAGTTAGATCAGAATAGATGTTAAAGTGAGGTGTGGCAGGTCAGTATGAGCCTCATTGCTAGGTGACATTCACCGACATTGTCACCATAGAAAAATAAACCAAATAGAAGGTAAACTTATTTTACTGACCTTAAAAAAATTAAGTCATATTTACATAGAATCTAATTCATTTTAGTGTATAGTTTACAGCATTCATCTCAGCATTAGGTATGAATGAACTACGGGCCTCAAACTGAACACAACTTCATGGCATTAAATGCTGTGACTGCAACATATGTTTTCATTTAACAGTGAATCACAGAAGTTTCTATCTATCTATCTATCTATCTATCTATCTATCTATCTATCTATCTATCTATCTATCTATCTATCTATCTATCTATCTATCTATCTATCTATCTATTCAATCAAATTAGTTCTCCATTTTTATCATTCTGAATTCTCTATTAACTACTGTTAATTGTCAAGAGAAAAATGGTTTTAATGGTGCTCATCACAACAGTAAATCTTTGTCAATTATTCTTCTACTTCTTCTTCTTCTTCCTCCTCCTCCTCCTTCTCGTGTCACCCGGTAAATAGACGTGTAGGGCCAGCTGCTTCGTAAAAAGATGACTTGCAGCTGGTCTCGGCCTGGACGTTTGTTAGTCTGTAAAGTGCAGCGGTGTGTTTATTCATAACTATAACAGTCTGTTTAATGGAATATAAAGCTGTAACACGGTGTATGAGTTTGAATATTTGTAGTCATTAATGGTTTGCTGTAGGAGTCGAGCAGAGCGGCACGGTGACCTGCTGCTGTGCTTGTGAATGTACTTTATATCCAGAGGTTTTACTACAATAAACAAGAGCTGGAATCTACGGTGGCATTTGGTTACTTGTTCAGTTTCTGTTTGATTTTACTTTTAAGATATTTTTAAATTTTTTTTTCACTGTCACGGCACTTTCGAATAAATAACATTATTTTACCAGCAGTTTTTAATTGTATCTGTTGAGGCAAGAAAAGTCTCATACTTTCTGTCTAATAAGTTAGCATATAAACAAAAAACATACCATTAATAAAGAAGAGTTGGACACAACGGGCTAAAAATGTAGCTTTGTTGGTCATAAATATAGCTGTATTTTTAACTAAGTTAACTACTGATTAACAGTTTTATTGTTTCTCTCATTGGAAAGTTTTGTTGTTTGTTAGAAACAGGGCATTCCAGGTACTGAAACATGCATCAGCCGCCGGCCCAGCTTTCATTAATAGTTGTTTTTTTCACCCAAAAGTGAAGGTGTAAGCAAAATGTGGCATAAATACTTGATGATTTTGCTTTTTTTGACGCTGTATCCAGAGGCAGCTCTCGTCTGGCTGCTGAAGTCTGAGAGCATGAGGCTGCTGCAGATGAACATGAATCATTTACACGGATTGAACTGTGAAACCAAGAAAGTGTAATAATGATGTGCCGAGACAAAGCTAAATAATAGCCGGACAGAAACGGGGGTACAGCACTTCACACAACAATCTAAATATGTGCATAATATGATATGATTGACAAACCTGACTTTTGTTGGCCTTTATAACTGTGTTATTTTGTACACGAACTCAACACAGACGGACTCTGTGTACCGTCACTTTAAACACTACTGCCATGGTCAGAGTGAGCTTCATGGTTCATTTGTCATTTTTGTGTGTCTCTTCTTCTAATGTGTAAAAAAAACAGCCTGATATTCATATTGTTACCTGACTTGTGGAGCCTCCTACACCCTTAACCAAATCACATTTTGTTGCTGCTAAAAAAACATAACCAAAAGGCATCTGTGTGAAACTATCACAACCCACTAGTTTTTGCCTCAAAATAGCAAGTTTCCCTGGGTATTTTTACTCCTAGTAATGGAGCAGATGTCACTGTGTGTGTATGAGTACCAGTACACAAATACAAATGCAGCATCTGTTCGATCTAAATTATAGGAGAAACTGTGGCCAAATTAACACCATGTTACAAACCACCTAGTTTTTGTCAACCACTGGTCCTCCAGCAACATTTTCAATGTGCCTTAAATGTGATGGCAGAGTAGCTTTAGCCATGCTAATGTTCCAAATAATGTGCTTAAGTGTCTAACCCAATCCTAAGCATGGACATTTATTTTATGTACTACTGACCAAATATATATACATAGTATGTATGTATATATATTTTTTTCATTTTATTTAGTGAACATAAAGCTTTACGTCTTCTGTGTGTGTGTGAGAACCAATCCATATTTAGCACTGCTGTTATATTTTAATTAAAACCGAATGGCAGCCTTAATTACAGCCATGATAAACAACACCTCCCTCTCTCTCTCTCTCGTTTCTCTTCGTCCCTGTCTCTTTGTTGTCATCAAAGCATCGATAAAGCTTACCCCTATGTGTACACACACACACACACACACACTCAGAGTATGTGGAGGGTCTCAGTGGTGGAACAGAACTGTGTTTATGGCTGTTAATGAAAACTGAGGCCAAAGTCCCAGAATCCCAACACTAATCACCAAGCAAATCTCTGGACAGGGGAGAGAAACAGAGACGGGAGGGGGACGGGGACGGGGGGTTGTCATTCAGACATCTGAACGTTGTTCATCTTTGAACATGCTGTGAATTTTTTTTTTAAAGTGAACATGTAAGGTAGTCATCCATCTTCCTGTGCACGTGTGACATGAAAGCATACAAACTCTCAGATATGAACCACATGGCAACAGCTCTGATTGCATGACAATATGAAAATTGGGTTCCTGTCTGTGATGTGGGAAGTCGCCCCTTGCCCCCTGGGGAACAATGGACTGCAACCATTTGGTGCCAATTTCTGATCTTTCTGGTGAAGAAAATCAGTGGGACTTAAAACAGCATGTAGAGCCATTAATATTGTTGGGGACAAATGCTTCACCCAAGCTCATCTTATTTAATCAGGATTAATTTAATCAAGTCACTGTTACCCTGTGATTAATCAGGTTAAAAATCCCTTATCCTAATATATAGTAGCATTCCATAAATTAGTTCATTTGGTTTCCTTTGTGGCAACGGTTGCATTGGCTGCAACGTGTGACTCCATCATACTATTTCCTTAGTAACTTAAGATAGAAGTATGAAGGTGCTATGGTGGAAGAGTGGTTTCTGCTCTTGCCTTACAGCAGGAAGATGCCTCAGTTGGGTCAATATGACAATCCTAATTGACCATAAATATTAATGTGAGTGTTATGAGTCGTTTGTCTCTATAGGGCCCTGTGAAGGAGTCGAGAAACGTCCAGTGTGTCCAATTACTGCCGTGTTACTCAAACAGGTAGAAAAGCTACGAGCAGTTTCTGCCAGGCACGACTCCGACCGTGCCCTTTGGCCGGCTGCTGAAGGTTCACTGGTAGCCAGCCTTCACTGATGTTAAGCTTTTTTAAATCCCAGACATCCCACGGTGGTGGACCAGTGGTCAGGAATTTACCTTCTGTCCCTGCAGCTGTCCTTAGAATCACTTTTACATTCAGTGTTATTTCTTAGTATTTAGAAATAGAATTCTGACAGTTCAGTCTCATTTTAGGATGAGTCACAGAAATATCACCTTCAGCACAACACACGAGAAGATGAAAATAAAATGTAATTGGTAAACTAATGTGGGGGAGTGAAAAAGTCCATACACTTTTTGTTTTGGATTAAAGACGTGCTGAATATTTGACATGTTAAAGACTTCATCAGCTAAGTCTTTTGTTAAATGGCTAAAATCCGTTTTTAATTAACTTCTCGCTGGCGAGGGAGCCTCAGTCTCACAGTACGACAACTCCTCCATCCATATTTCATTCATTCCTTTTCTTTCATTTTTCTTCTTATCTTTTATGCACATCCTTCTTTCATGTTTTTGGTTTTTCCAGGTGATTGTTGACTTGAAACACGTAGAGCTTTAAGTCAGCAGGATGGAAAGAGATTGAGTTTGTGTGTGTGTGTGTGGGTGTGGGGGGGGGGGGGGGGGGGGGGTGTGGGTGTGGGTGTGTGTCAGGGAGTGGATTATCCAGGTTCCAGGACTCGGCTCTTGCTGGCAGCCGAGCGGAAAGCTTTAATGAGAAGTCACTGTTTACTGAGGACAGAGTGAGACACACACACACACAAGTTAGAGACTTATATGGACTCATGGAAACAAAACACACACAGTGTTACACACTCATACTCATAAACCCACCCACCCACCCACACACACTAACCAGTGCAGTAATGGGATTTGGAAGATTTTCTCTATAAACCAGTCTGTCCTCTGTCTCCTCATTAAGAGAGGACTGTCCACACACATAGACTGTTGGCTCCACACTGACTTGTGGGATCACTAATTATTTGGATGCTCTCTATTGTTGTGTTTGTGTTTCGTGTGTGTTGGCTTGGCTGTTACACTAACAGTCTGGTGAAGTTTTGGTCGAGGGCAGTAGAGGACACCGTCCAAAACGAAAATCATCCAAAAGTATCTGTTGGAGTTTTTAGTCTCTTGTTGTTGGAAACCCAAAAAAACTATTTATTTTTCTTTCTGTACTTTGTCCAAAATCAAATCAATTTAGCCATATTTGAGTTGTAATCAATAAGATGTAATTAATTAAAGTAACAGGATCAGTCTACTAGTTAGTCGACTGACAGGAGACGTGCAACAGAGACTGGAAAATCCCATGGCTACTCACTGACACAACTGGCTGCCAAAGTTAATTAATTTGTGAAAAATTAATCAGAACAAATTTAATGCATTTTTACAATCGCAGAATGAAGCACACTGTATAGTCAAACTTTCCTCCATCCAGACCAGCTGTTCCAACAGCGGGGCAGTAAATAAGTCAGTCTGACGTAATAGTCAAATTCTACTGCATCAAGATGCACAGTAATGACTGACTCCATGCAGCTAAAGTTATTTTAAATTTTTACATATGAATAATTTACATAGTTTAAATTAGTTAAAAAAATGTAATCAGGTGTTAAAGACATATATCTTTCTGAATAATAGAAATATAAAGGAATGATGATTTATCTAGAGTAATTACAGTCACGATTAATCGTGACTAATCATGAATAATCCACAGCAGCCCTGTGGTTAATCAGGTTAAATCATAGTTAATCGGTTGACAGCCCCGGCTTTTTAATTAGAACATACAGTATCATAAGTCTATTAGGCAGTAGTTTATGGTGTCTAGTTGTAAACATCTCCGACTCCCTCTGCACTACAAAATCCAATCATTAAAAAATGAATTTTAACCACATGATTCACATCCACTTCCATCAGCAAAAACAAGTTTATTCTCTGAATTTAACGTCTTAAAACCCTGATTTCCTCCATGGACTGGGGCAAGGGAGAATAAGCTGTCCAAGAACTTCAGATTTTCAAGTTTAAAAGGCAGATTAACAGAGAGGTGAGGCAGTGAGTGTTCTCTTCCTGTAGCGCAGCTGGAAGATGAGGTTGACATTAAAAGGTGAGTTATTTTTAAGAGCATAAAACCTGTTCCCTTTTGTCCCCACTGGCAGCGAATCTGCTTCAACTGTAAATGAGCTTCCATGTCTCAGGCTGGTTCTGGTGACATCTACAGTACACACTATAGTACATGATAGTACCTACTGAATCAGGGTTTAAAAATGCAAACACACACTGCAGCTGAACCCTCAGGTCCCTACCTCACTTAGCTGGAGACAGAGGTCACCAGGAGATGGACAAGGAGTAGAGGACTGTGCTGATGTCTGACCAGTATAACTGGAGCAGAAGAATTAAAAAGATTTGCCTCCAGGCAGCACATCTCTGTACATGCACGCATGCGCGCACACACACACACATACATACACACACACGTACATGCACTGAGTAATGTGACGTGATGCGATGTGAAGGCCAGGTCTGTGTGGGTGCTGTGTTAAGTCTGTGTGACTCTCTCTCTCTCTCTCTCAGTTTATCTCCACGGTCTCAGCTGCGCACCTTCACGCACACACATGTGCAGCGACACCATCTGTGTATCGCTCCAGGATAAGAGAGATTATGTTTGCTCACATACAGCCCTGAAAAAACACAGGAGTTCAGGGGTCTCACTAATGGGCTCTGTCAGACCAGGTACTATCAGAGCTGCTTGAGAATGAAAGTGTTTCTGTGTTCGTGTAGGAAAAAAAATCCACATATTGTTAGTGGAGCAGCCCTGTCCTGGAACATGTACTTGGTGCCTTTTGGTATTTTTCTTTTTTTTTTTTTTTTTTTTTTTACCCAGCCTTCAAACTTCTAGCAGCTGCCTTCAACTTTCTTGGTTTAAATCCAATCATACACACAGTACGTTTTAAACCACAGCTATACTGAGAAATATAGTACAGCCTAGTCAGTCGGATGACTACTGGTACTACCAGCATAATCAAACCAAATGGATATTACATTTTCACAATTAGAATTTGACACTTTTATTATTTGTTTTCAACCCAGCTCCCAAAGAAGAAAGCTGAAAAATGTTATTAAAAAAATCCTGGTTATCTTGGTTAAACTTGTTTATCTGTTGATAAAACCTTGGTCAGAATACCAGATCTGTGCTCTAGGATGCAACACCAGTGGAAGAGCAGGAAGTTGTCACACTTTTTTACGTGTGCTGTTGTGTTGTTGTTCACTCCCAGCCTCATCTACAGCTGCTACGAGTGTAGACTGTGAGAAGAAAACTGTGTGTTTGTGTCACGTTGGGTTCAGTGTTTAACTGAGCCTGTGTTTGGCATTACAAACATCCTAAGTGATGCTTTGCCCTCAAACTTTGTATGTGTGTGTGTATGTGTGTGCGTGTGTGTGCTCAGCATCAGAAGCAGCAGTAGCAGCGGCGCTGACCCGTGTTCGCCTCACTGTTTTTATCTCTGTCTGTGTGACCCGAATTGTAAATACAGCATCCTCTGTTAAACTCCGTGCGTATGTGTGTGTGTGGGTGTGTGTGCATGTGTGTGTTATGAATTATGAGCAGCAGCCTCAACCTGACCTGATCTGCGTGTGACTCCGTATCTTGCATAGCAATGAGTTAGTTATATCTATAAGACCTGTTTGTGTGTTTATTGTTCCTTTTGTGTGTGTGTGAGAGAGCCATGTCACAAGGTTAATTGAGGGGAGGGCCTTTAAACCGTGCTGTCATTACCCATGCAGCAGCCCGCACAGAACAAACAAACAGAGAGAAACTCACTGAGCTCCAGAACAGAGGGCAGGTCCCAGGTCGACAAGCCCACCGTCGAGGGCCCCCAGCTGGGCTGCTGTGGTGGCAGCAGCGGCCTTGTCCTCCCCAGTTTGGTGGAGCTCAGAAGAAGGTCTAATCCTTACAGTGCACAGAGGAGATGCTAATGGAGGAGGATTAACCTGCAAATAAACGCACTCCCTGTGCTGCTCCTCCTATTGCTCCTCTGCTGCTCTTTACTCTCACTGAACTTTACTCTTCAGTTACTGCACCTCCTCTCCTGGAGAGGTTTTCTCTGCCTCTCTTTTCTACATGACTCCTAATCTAGTATTTCCATCATCACTCATGCTGCTTTTTTTTCTCTCTTTGTTTAAAATATCCACTC